TTCTGCAACACCAAATGGAACAGCAAGAAAATTGCTGTTTTCAGACAGGTTTCCTGAACCCTTCTCCCTGTCTGCCATTGGTAGATAACTCTGCCCCAAATTTGTTGTTGTTTTTGAGAACAAGAGGTTTTTCCATGTTTTACATTTGACGTTTTCAGTGCTTTTTTTGTTTTTATTTCAATTTATTCCAATTCATATAGTTTTTATTATGTTTTATGTTTTATATCGCTTGATGATAACATAATTGAGTGAAAAAAATAATATGCATAACCTTTATTTTAATTTATTTTCAAAAGGTTTATGTATAATATAAAGTCATACATTTTAAGAAATTTGTTTTTCAAAGAGCCCAACCTCTTTTTATGTATATGGTACTTTTTTTAATAAAATAAGTAATTGCATAATATATTATATAATATAATAATTTGGACTTGTAATAATTTGATGGGAAAAAAAATGTTTGCTTTTATAATGAAATTTCTAATTTCTAGATAATGTGAGTTTACTGGGGGTTTCGCAAGAAAAAAAAATCTAAGTGCAATATGTTTCCGTTTTCTCTCCATTTCATCACACTGCTGTCAATAAAAAGTAGATTTTTTTTATTAAATCGGTAACACTTTATGATAAGGCCCTGTCTGTTAACATTGAATTAACAACAAACCGTACTTTAACAGAAATGTATTAATTTCAAGTTGTAGAAATGAACATGAGTTAATGTATTATCAATGAACATGAACTAACAATGAGCAATAGTATATTTAATATTGCGGATGTTTTTCATTACTACTTTAAGCATTAAGAATGATGAAGTAAGTAATGTAAACAAGTTGTACCTTACTGAATCAACAGCCTTCTCGATCCAGTTCAGAAATGCATGTGTATTCAACACACGCCGCCATTAATGTTAAAAAGTCTCAGTGAGTGATTAGACATTGATCAGCTGATCGTTTTATATGCATTCTTGCGTGAACTGTAACATCAGCACTACAAACAACCTTCACGTTGACTGCTGCTCAGAGATTGATACCACATGACAAAAGCACTTTTAATGGATGGAGATGTAAACTGCAGATTACAGCGTGGGGCTTTGTTAATGTGCCGGCCAGATTAATGATAAAGGCTATTGTCTTTCCTGGGCGCGGTGCTTCTTCACAGCTCATGAACAAGTTGCTGTTTGTGAGGAGATAGAAATCACAATTTAATATTCCTCCAAAGTGGTCCCAGCAGAGATAGGGCTCTTTGTTCTTGGTAATGATCCAGCGTGGAGATGAATAGAAAGGCTGAGCTTACACTAATGGGAGTGTTAACAGGTCGCTGCGGTGTGCCGCCCCTCCTCTGGTTGTTGCTACAGCAACAGAAAGTGCTGTTCTAATAGTGATGATGGTTCAGGCCAGACCAGTGATGGAGGATGGACTTCATCAGAAACATGCAGTGGCTGTGTTGTTCAGGGTGATTTATTTGTTCAAAGCTATTGTTATATTTATATTTGGCTTCTGACTGTGGCAGGTTTCACTGTATAAGAGTTGTGAGGTTGTGAATGCATTTGCGCTGTGTTTGTTCTCACGAATAATTTTCTTCTCATTTGGTATATATCAACAGGCCTATCTATCATACTATTTATTAAAGTCCAATAATGTGCAGAAAAAGTTGCTTAAGGGTGAATTTTAATTACAATCATTTCAATTTGTATTAATGGCTTTGGCGATTAAAGTGTGAGTCTGGCATCATTTAGGCTAATATGAAATAAAAATATATATATATTTTATTTAATTTGAGTCCTATGTCCAATAAATAAATGGTAATTTTTGCAAGACGAATACTGAAAATTAAAAATTGGATTGGATGTTAAAGTACTCATGTTTTGTCTGTAATTAATGGTGTTTGCCAGTGGAATCATCATCATTATTATAAGTTAATATTTCAATAATTTCACAACTGATTTGCATGTTCTCTAATGTTGTTTAATGATTACATTGACATGCAGGTAAACAAATATCAAATATTTTATATGTAAAAAATGTAAATGCATTCATCTTAATTTGACATTTTTATGATTTAATGAATTGTTAGCTTTTCATCAGCAGTTATTTAATTTACTCTAGTTTTGGAAACCCTGAAGCAATGTGATGTTTAATGCATTTCATAAAAAAATAAAAAAAAATTGATTATATTTTATTTCTCTTAATTTTTTCAGAGGAATGCAAAATAGTCTGAATATATTCCCTAAAATAAATCATCTGAATTACATGATACACACACACAGAGAGAGATAGAGAGAGATAATGTAATTCAGATTACTCGTTTTATGTTCTGATTACTTTTGGATTACAGTCTGTACTGCTTGAACTTTCTGCAGCAGACCCTCCAGGGCTTGTGTTGTGTTCTGTTCTGACAGTTGTATAAATATCTCTCAGAATATAATTTCACATCCATCAAGTCCTTTCACATACCACGAGCGCTTGTCCTTGTGAAGCTTGAATTCTCAGTCTTTTGTTGTAACGCTTACAGAGTCTGATATTTCTAGACATTTTTACAACTAGCAAAATCACAAGGGTCTTTAAAACGAAACCTAAGGAGCTTAAAGCATCAATCTCTGCTATTGGATGACCTTGGACCCATAACCCACGACAATAAAAATCTGCACTGCGTGATGAAGACTGTCCCAGCAGACGAATATTTCACAATACAAGTGTGTCCACACAGTGACTGAGCTTCTCTGTACAAAAAACCCCTGAGAGTTTTAAAGAACTGTAAGTGCTCGTCTTCATCATTGCTTTTACTGCCAAGGGTTTGACCTTTAAGTGAAAGTCAGTCAAGGCCATGAAGACGAAATCTGCACAGCTTTACTGAGCTCTTTGAGTTATGAGTTGGAACACAAAAGAAACAAAATGCACAACCATATGCTTTTGGTTGCATATTCTGAAAGTGCTTTGTGTTACTGCAGTAAAACGAGTTGCAAATGATGTTAAAGGGGTCATATGATGCTGCTAAAAAGAACATTATTTTGTGTATTTGGTGTAATGAAATGGGTTTAAGGTTAAAAAAACACATTATTTTCCACATAATGTACATTATTGTTTCTCCTCTATGCCCTGCCTTTCTGAAAAGCGTAAATTTTTACAAAGCTCATCGGTCTGAAAAGCGAGGTGTGCTGTGATTGGCCAGCTACCAGTGCGTTATGATTGGCCGAATACCTCAAGCGTGTGACGGAAATGTTATGCCCCTACCATATTGTGATGATGCTCTGTCAGGCCGGGGCGATGATTCAAAAACATGAAAACCCATTATAAACGAGGCATTCGTTGCATCCAGTGGGGACATATCCAAAGAGAAAGGAAAAATTGAAATCGCATCATATGACCCCTTTAAGAAATGTATAAGAAATACTTTAAAAATGCTTAAAATCCTCATATGTTGTTCTCTTTCTCATTGTGACTTTATGTCGTGGTTTTAGAGCGGCAGACAGGCAGCCTGTCTCTGGTTTGCCCGTCTCAGCAGCGGATCACTGTAAGCCTGGCCTGCTGCTCTCGGCTCAGTGCGGATGAATGGGAAATGTGGAATAAAGGCTTCTGACAGGGAACATCACCCTCACGCTCCTGCGCCTGGAATATGCTGATGTTAGCATGTTTCCTGCCAGGATCACCTGTATTAATCTGATGTGCTCACTATATATGAAAAAGTAATAGAAGAAATGTTGATTTCTTCAGAGACAGATGGAAGACGGGATCAGATCATGTTTTTGTGTCTGGTACAGCAGTCGTCTGGTGTATTTATTTCTCCAGGGGAAGTTTTATTATTTCTACTTGCAGATGCTGATCTAAAGTACATTTCTTTACTACGGTTTCCCTGGTGTGACCTGAAGTTTAGTATTAAGTGTGCTATGATGGTATATAATATGGTGACCATATTGGTAACAACAAATATAATAATTGTTGGCATCTGTCTGATTAAGACAATATTTGAAGCAGATCAAATCAGAACTTTTTTAAATTTATGTTTTTAATAAAAAAATATTTATTTTCTTCAGTGAAGGCTTCAGAAAGTACTAAACAATCATCTTTTTTTACTTAAGATTGAAGTGGTTCTATGCTTATTTTTACTTGCGTGTAAAATTCTAGATCGAAAAACAATCCAAACTGATTTGTAATATCAGAAGTCATTGGTTAAAATAGTTTGTATTCATATGTATTATTTTACTTATCAGTTAGTAATTTAATAAAGTATTTATTTATTTATTGGTCTTCTTGCCTTTGGGCATGTAATTGTTATTTGTTGAAGGCAGTGTTAATTTACTATTAGTTATAAATTATTATAGTATTTATTACTAATTTTAATTAGCTTAAAATGTAATTATTTGATTGTTTAGTTAAAGTATTGTTTTTTCTTTTTTATTAGTTTCTAATAAAAAAATTGTTTAGCTTTTATGTAATTTCAGTTTTAGTTTGTAATTTTAGTACTTTAACTTATTTAGTTGTAGTTAATAACACTAATTGTAGGTGGTGTTTATTTCAAATGTATTTAAATAACATGCTTAGCATGATTAGACTGTAAATCTCTGTATTATAATATTCTGGTGTAGTCAACCTTCCATGACTGAAATTGCACTACACTGAAAAACACTGGGCGTAAAAACTATTTTTCGGTCACACTTTTTTTAAGATCCAATTCTCGTTATTAACAAACCATTAAATATGACCTTTGCCTCAATAAACTCCTAATTTTCTGCTTATTAATAGTTAGTAAGGTAGTTGTTAAGTTAATATATTGAGTAGGATTAGGGATGTAGAATATGGTCATGCAGAATATGTGCTTCATAAGTAGTAATAAACAGCCAATTTTTCTTGGTGGTAGGCCATGAAGCTCTCTTTCTAGGGTTTGAACCTACATCCAGTCATTAGCCCAGATTTTTAAACACTAAACCACAAAACAGAAAAAAGGATGGCCACTTGAAAGCTCACACTGTTGCCATTTATTTTGTAATCTTGTGTTTCCTTGCACAGATTGTACTACAGTGATCCTCATCCATCCAGAGCGGTGGAGCTGCTGCGGGTGGGGAAGCTGCAGCACTACCAGGGCAGACTGGAGGAGGCTCAGGGGAGCTTCACACAGGTCTGTTAGCACACGCTCTTTGGCCCTATAACCCACTGCAGAGAGATCAGGAGCGTAATGAGACCCTCGATGGTCATTCTGCCCTGCAGTCTGATTGTTGTCTAAACGGTGGTATGGATGTCTCCGCATTGACTCCACTGTGCGTCTGCTGCTGTTAGACTAGATTTAGTGATTTAAAGGCAGTCGGAGTCAGGCAGACTTTGTGCAGATGGCAAAATAAGGACAAAAATGTTGCAAAATGCTTTATTATCTTGATGCTTAGAGGTTTTATTATCTTAACGCTTAAATCACAGCCTTTATTGATTTTATAAAAAGACGACTGTGACATAAATATGACAAAGGCGCCAATATTTTATTTATAATATATAATTATTTTAACATATTGCAATGATATAATATCATTTAATCTTTAATTTTAACTTTTCTGCCACATTTAGAGGATGTGGGCCAACTTCTAAACTTTAATATATAAACTTAAATAAAAAATATTATAATGTAACGCAACGTAACATAACATAATATAAGCATTTTATTTTTAATGTTAACTTCTCTGCCACTAAAATTTCACCCACATTTAGAAGATGTGGGCCAAATGATAAACTTAAATATATAAACTTATATAAAAAATTATAAACGAATAAATGTAAAATAATATTAAATTTAAAACACTAAAATTTACAGAAATATAATAAAAGGCACCAAAAGTTTATTAATATAATATAATATAATCATATTTAATTTTTTTATATACTATAATAATTACATTTTATTTTATTTTTATTTTTTTTACCTTTTAATTATAATGGAAGAGTGTTAATATGCCACATTTCTCTTACTAATATTTCACCCGTGACGCTCTTGGTGCAGCTGCCAAATCCCACGGTAACATAGTGGCTGCTTTGGACTCTCCCAGCTCCAGTTTCAATCCTTTAAATGAATGTTCTTCCCTCACATGACAATCGTTTAACTCAAGCATCTCTCTTGCTCCCGCTCAGGCCTATGACATCATGAAGGTGACCCACGGGACGGCTCACGCCCTGACTAATGAGGTGAGCAGAAAACTGAGCGAGTGCCAGGCTGAGCTGGGTCGAGTCTAGGCTGATCTGTGCCATCATACAGAGAGCGACTGCTGCAGTCCCGCCACAGCCCCAAACTCCTCTCCGACAATACAATCAATACGCAAATGGGATGTTTCTGGATGGTTGTGTCTGCCACCTGCTTTTGTGCCGCTGTGTATCAAACCAGCTGCTTTAGAATTCAACTGAAAAACAAAAGAATATTTTTCTCTTCTGCTTCTACTCCGCTTGCCAGAGGAAAAAATCTACATTACTCTGCTGTGCTTTTTCAGTCCATTTCAGATTGCTCATCCCATTTCAGATTTGTTTTTTGTGGAATTCATTCCACTTTATTCTATTCTGAATTTTTTGCAATAATGACAGAGTTAAACTTGCTGTCCCCTTCACTTTTAACACTCAATCCAAAGTATAGTATATATTATTCAAAAGAAAGTCCTACATCTAGGTATTTTGACCCCAAATTAGTGGTTGCAAGAGGAAAAATAATGATACATTTAAATGATAAACTTAAAGAACTTTTTCTTAAAGAACATTTGTCACTTTTCAAATGTGCAGTAATGGCAGCTATTACAAAGTCTGAATGATTTGGGTCAATGCATTTTTTGATTTGTAGCTGCATATTCTTAGATTCATAAACATATATGTGATATATTAGTATTTAAGTGCATCTGATCGAGTATTCAGTAAATCCTTAAATTAATATGTTTCTTGTTGTTCTGGTCACTTGGGAGAAATAAAATTATTCAAATATGTGTTATTTTAGTTTTATTTAAAGATTACATTTTAGTAATTTTGTAGTTATGGACTATATATACATTGATTTTTTTTAAGTTTAGGCCTCTCGTTTTTTCAGATGTACAGTCATGGCCAAAAATATCGGCACCCTTGGTAAATATGATCAAAGAAGGCTGTGAAAATTAATCTGCATTGTTAATCCTTTTGATCTTTTATTTAAAAATTCACAAAAATCTAACCTTTCATTGGATAATAAGAATTTAAAATGGGGGGAAATATCATTATGAAATAAATGTTTTTCTCAAATACACGTTGGACAATTATTGGCACCCCTAGAAATTCTTATGAGTAAAACATCTCTTAAGTATATTCCCATTCATATTCACAATTTTGAGCACTCCAGGGTGGTTATGAACATGAAATTATCCAGCCATGGCTTCCTGTATCACAGAAATATAAATAGGAGGGAAAACAAAGCCCAAATTCCCTTAATCATCCATCACAATGAGAAAAACCAAAGAATATATTTCTGATGTGCAGCAAAAGATAATTGAGCTTCACAAATTAGTGAAGTGGCTTTAAGAAAAGAGCTAGAGCAGTGAAAAATCCCATTTCCACCATCAGGGCAATAATTAAGAATTTCCAGTCAACAGAAAATGTTACAAATCTGCCTGGAAGAGGACGTGTGTCTATATTGTCCTAATGCACGGTGAGGAGGAGAGTTTGAGTGGCTAAAGACTCTCTAAGGACCACAGCTGGAGAATTGCAGAAAATAGTTGAGTCTCGGGGTCAGAAAACCTTTAAAAAAAAGTAAAACAGCACCTACATCACCACATGTTATTTGGGAGGGTTTCAAGAAAAATTCTCCTAGCTCATCCAAAAACAAACTCCAGTATATTCTGTTGTCAGACACGACTGGAACTTCAAATGGGACTGGCTTCTATGGTCAGATGAAACTAAAAAATGAGGTCTTTAGCAGCAAACACTCAAGATGGGTTTGGTGAACACAGGGATAAAAAAGTACCCCATGTGTACAATGAAATATACTGCTGTATTTTTGGCTCCGATTTTTCAGTTATCAACAATGATTTTTAATAGTTATAGTTTTAGTTAACCATAACAACACTGATTGGAATATGACATGTTAGACTAGCATTTTAAGATTTAGCTGCCTTGTTCTACATAAAGGAATGGTATTTCTTCAGAATGTGAGGTCTAATGGAAACAAGAATGGTACAAATGAGACAGGAAGGAAATGTTTTATTTGAGGTGTGTTGTTTGGAAAATCTATAAGCACATTAGTACATTTGCCCAAACTATTGTGAGGTACTGTAGTAGCTTTTCAAAACTGGTTTTTAAACTTTGACTTAATGACCCTTAAAAATGACTATAGATGGCTTAAGTGTGTTTTTGATCACATAATCAACTGTTGTGAAAGGCAACACCTTTTCAGCAATAGCTGCTGTGATTCATAAAACCACTCCAAACAGCACACACCTCAGATTTGTGCTTCAGTTTCTCATCATTAACTTCAATCATCAGAGAGACGATGCTTTTCGCTCTGATTTCATAAACCTATTTCGGCAGCTGCTTTGTGTTTTTATGCTCTGCTTTTACCATCTGGGTTGTGTTATTGCAGTAAGTCCTTGATTTGTAATGTTCTTCTGTAATTCTTCGTTTCAGTAAATATTCCCATCATATGCCTTAATATGTTGAATCAAATACCTTTACAGTTTTTTGAAAATGAAAATCACATTAGTAAGTTTTCACACTTATCACAGTTAAGTGAACGCAACGGATGATTTAAATCATTTCAGTACTCTGGTTTGAACAGATGCTGCCATTTATATGCAAACATGAAAAACTGGCATTTTATTCAGAAATTTTCCAGGTGTTTCACTAATCAGAATGTTTTCTTGTGAATATTGTTTTAATTGACTTTAATATGACTTTCTTTTGTATTGATATGATATACAAGGAATTGGCTTTTGTTAATAATATCCTTTTTGTTAATAATAATATCCACATCCTTCAGGAAGTGATGTCATTTTGGTGGTAAAACAACAAGTGATGTGTAAAAAATCTAATTATTAATAAAGTTTGTGTCTGAGCTTATACTGAAAATCTATGTAAGCTAGAATAGAAGTCTTTTGTTAGTCTAGTTGGTCTGGATCAGCACAGATGACACTTTTCCGGACATTTTTCCAGAACGTGTTATTGTTGCTAAATCTTTTTAACCCTCCCGAGTGTCAGGATACAGATAGACGGGATTACACGTCTCATTCCACCTCCTCTCCTCTCATAACTCTGGGGCCACTAAAGCAAACAGCTTTTGGAGGTGCGCTTCTCTGAGATGAGATAACATCTTAAAAAATGTCATTCTGTTGGATAGAATGGGGCTTAAGAGGAAATAGAGGAAGTTAGTATAGAGCGACGACTTGTCAGCAGTCCAATCTTGAACTCACACTCTGAGCCCTTTGTTAAGCCTATGACATCAACGAGTCCAACCACAAATCTTGTTTTGAGTTGTTTCACCAAAAATCAAAAGGAATAAAATTTTATTTTTACCTAACCCTCAGGTGCTGTTCGCATGGCGGTCAAACATTTTAATGAAATTAATGTACTATACTTTAGATCAATAAAAATTGTTATTTACGTTTTATGTTATTCAATTGTATTTATGGAATAGTCATGATCCATTTATTACCCGTTAACCACTTTTTGAGCATAGACCTGAAAATGAAATTTCCAACTTAAACTGTTGAAAATCTTGAATGTTTTGGAGCACAGAAAATTGGTCTCTTTTTAAAGAAGACACTTGGAAGTGAATAAAAAAAGGGTTTAAAAAATGAAACCATAAAAAACTTATACACGTTTAAGTTTATTATTATGGCAATTTTGACTACTATTATGACTATTTTTAAATTTTATGTGAAATATGTATTTACCAAAACTTCCTGTACTCCAAATGTGACGTTGATATAAAACAATGGGCATTCAGTAAGATTGTTTGGCTGCAGAAGCAAACATTTCCACTAAATGAAATTTGCTTCCCATTCATTTCCACTGTCACTTCTCAACAGTACAGATGTGACAGTCCATGGTTATTTTTTTTCACATAGCAAGTGCCAAAAGCAAGTAAAAATTCTAAAAATTGACTGAACAGCACCAGAAGATTATAGAAAATTAGGTTTTATGACCAATAAGGGTCACCTTCCGTTCGCTTTTGTTATTACAATGAGATCTTCCACACTAAGCATCAGGATCACTGATAAGATGGGTTATTATCTGTATTTCAATCATGACAACTCTCTGAACATTTTAGCATGGTGATGGATATGACAATGTTAATGTATTTGGTCTTGGCGGAACAGATCTGCTACGCTGCTGCTGAATTGCTGCTGCTGTTGGTTATTGCTGAATTACTGCTGCTGCAAGCAAGTACAGGAACATGCTACTGCCAATGCATATGGCGATACGGTGCCATGAGTATTTAAGACATACTGCTGCTGCACAAATAGCATACAAAATAACCCCGTAGCAGATCTATACAGGTGGAGCTGGGGAAGGTGGAGGGTTTCAGAGAACTCTGAAAGCGTGCTGCAGGAATCTCAAGTGAATGCTAGCCAGCCATATAAATGCAAAGCAGTAAGCTCATTGGCTGCATATGCAGCATGAACCAATCAGCTTGTGCCAAGTCGTTTAACTCTGAATATCATCAGTTATGTTAACACCCCGTCAGAAAGCGCCATCTAGAGTTTCATGACTGAACTATATATTTGTCCTGTCAGGGTGAATTATCATATACTTGTAAAGCTCCCTTGTGTTCTTTTAATGTCTGATATGATTTTCTATCGAACTGCATCTGTGGTTGATGGCTGTTCATTAAAGCCGATGATCACTCTTGTCTGCAAGCAGCTTAAGACATCTAAAATGAAGCTTAGGGAATATTGAATTAAAATAATGAATAAAAAAGCCCAACTAAAGGTTGCTTTCATTCTTTTTTATCAGAAATTCCATTAAAAAAAAACAAGATTTATGCTGCAGATCTGCAAAAACGTAGTGGGCAACTAAAAAAAAAAAAACGAAATAAAAAAAACTTAGTATCTGAGAAACGTTTTAAGAGAGGATTAAAATTATTTTTAGTTGTCAATTAGTTGTGCAGAATAAGGCAGAAAAAAAGAATGAAGCTTCCAAAACATCCTTTATTTACATCAGTCCGTATGCCAATCAAACTCTCCTTCAGGCTGTGTTTTTCCCCATAGAACAAGAAATCATGCCGACTGTCGCAGTATTAACATGAAGCAATATGTTGACAACTTTCCTCATCTTCCCTCATACATCTATAATGCCAAACTCTGTCTTTTTTGTTTTTCCTTTCTATTCACATGACTTAGTGAAAGGAGGCGAGGCCTTAGTTTCGCAACCATGTTAGTGAACATTAAAGCGCATTTAGGACGATATTCGTTGCACATTGTACCGCATATCACACAATGCATTACTTGAACGATCCACAGATGCCGAAGAATGTGACGGCTTGTGATGAAAAAAACAGTTCATGAATAAACATGGAAATTGCTTGTTCTCTCGTCTCCCATGATTTGGCAATAGATGCGTTTACAGAGAAATGCAAAAACAAAACCTGTATAATATATAAAGAAGAACAAAAGTGAAATATAGAAGTATATTTTATATATATGGCATGACTTTAGCTACTGTACAATTTTAATGCATAGTGCTTTGCAGGCTAAATAAATTATAGAATATAAGCATCTCTGTCATACAGGCCTCCTGAGGTAAAAAATAAATAATATCCTTCATTCATTACAATGCCAAAAGGTCAAAGGGCAGCAGGAAGGTCGCTCCCCTTTGCT